TCGGTGATTACCAGGGCCCCCCAAGTGGGAAAATGCTAGGGCCCTGTCACAGCTGGTTGTTGTGCCACTGTGTAGAGGACTACACATCCCAGTAATACATTATACAGCAATGAGGAATACCTCCAGCTATAGAGGACTACAAATCTAAGCAATACATTATACAGCAATGCAAAATAATACCACCAGCTATAGAGGACTACAAATCCCAGCAATACATTATACACAAATGCAGAATACCATAATATAGAGAGGACTACAAATGTCAGCAATACATTATACATCAATGCAGAATACCATCATCTATAGAGGACTACAAATCCCAGCAATACGATTTACACCAATGCAGAACACCATCATCTATAGAGGACTACAAATCCCAGCAATACAATTTGCACCAATGCAGAATACCATCATCTATAGAGGACTACAAATCCCAGCAATACACTATGCAGCAATGCAGAACACCATCAGCTATAGAGGACGACAAATCTCAGGAATACATTAAACAGCAATGCAGAACACCATGATCTAAAGAGGACTGGTGCTGGGTCCCATACCCTGGTCCACGGGCCAGGGAGCTCTGAGCGAGAGAGGTAGCTGGCGCGGGGGAAGGGGGGAGAGACGCCCGACAACTTCATGTCCGGGGGGGGGACTTCATGTCACGGGCGATAGGAATCCCTGCTGCCCCTCTTCTCCCTGGGATATTTGGCCCTGCCAGCGCCCCCTTCATACTGGCATCTGGAGGCAAGTGCCCCCCAACGCTATTCCAGTGGGCCAAGGATTGGAATCCTTCCTTTGTTTTGGCTGCTACCTAAGTTAGTGAGACTTTCTTGTCTTTAATTTTACTAAAACGCAAATTAAGGAAAATCTGTAACCCTGGACTCTGACAGCAATAAAATGCTAACTGGGCAGCCTTCTCCTACTTTAAAAACATTGTTATTTCTGTCTGTATTGCTGTTGGAGATTTGCCTTTACTTCCCGTCTGCTTATCCCATTGCTACCTGGACAGGAAGTAATTAGAAATCTCTTTGGGAGCTCCACATAGCGGTAAACTCCCAGCAGGGGTTCTAATACTTCTCTATTGTATCCAATACTAAAAACAAAGTTATGGTTGTATTTAATTATGTATTCAGTATTTAAACATCAGCATGAATAGTGACCCCACACACATGTCCCAATGCTTACATTTGTTCATATTGATTATATATATAATATATATATATTATATATATATACGCACACACACACACACACACACACACACACACACACACACACACACACACACACAGTATATTGCTTAGTGAGTATGTGGTTATAGTATGGGGTAAATGTTTTTTACAACCAATGTAAAAGCAGATCCATGCCACGAAATCCAAAAATTCTTGTTAATTGTTATACAAATGTTGATATATATTTTATAACCTGATCTTTATGGCAGATACAGATGCACAGTTCAGAAATTGGTCACCCGTGTTTTATTTGCCTCAGGTCAGCATCAGTTGTCATAAAGTTCAATGATCTTCTTGACAGCCATGTTTCTCTGGTAGTTCAAAAACAGTTCACGTGTGTTCTGTGCTTGAACAGATTCTGAACCCTTTGTGTATTCCTACTGATAGCTTTTATAAAACTACTTGACGGGTAAACAATGAGCTAGGCACACCACTATTCACTTGGGTAATGGAAAGGGTTCCACACATGACATCGTCCTTTGCAAACTGATCTTATTGATCTTCTTCTTAAATGGTTTAATTTAAAGTAGATACTATGAGGTTAACTTGTCCACTGCCTCTTTTATTTGTCAGGAACTCCATTAGCAAGATTTCTATAAATGTGTATCCACATCTGTCCACCTGCCATGACCATTATGAGAAGTACTTACTATCCTTTTTCAATAAAAGGATGGTGAAAGAAAGTAGCAGCATTAAAAGTAAAGATTCCTGTAGCATTATTATCCCTCATCTCTATTGCACCTAGGTAAGATATCTGGCAACACAGCCCAGTTACTGTGTAGAGAAATCTCCCCAGCAAGTCCACAGGCAGCAATACAAATATGACAAAAGTATTTATGTTTTCCATCTCTATCCATTACATAAAAAATGTTTTGGCTAAAGATTTGCTTTAAAAAAGGTTTCATGTGCTTATTTCATATGGAAAAGTGTAGTAATCCAAACCAACCCATAAACGGTCACTTTCTATTGTTCTGACTAACTTACATTTGTTGGGTCATGTTGATAAACAAGTTAAATAAAAAATAAAAGTTTTTTTTCTAATTTTTAGCAATCCATTTACTTTATAATAAATGCTGTGAATTCATTTTGAGTCTCTTACAGCAGAGGGATATCTAAGCTGTGATTTACATCTAATAGCTATCCATGGTCCTGAACATAGTCACGGCTATGCATATATTAGTTTTATGTGTTCTGCATCTCCAATGTTGGTTTCATTCTGAGTGAGCTGTCTATGTTGCCCACAGCTACAAATTATATTAAAATATTAAATTAGCAGCTATAGCTGCAAAGGATTTAATCTGAACGGTTTCTTGCAAAACACAAATCATTTTTGGACTGGATTTGTCAATGTGCCTGAAATAGGTATGACCTGTGGTGCCTTACAGCAGTCAGTCACAAAAAGTCTGCAAAAAAAATCTGAAAAATTACTTTTCACAGAAACACTAAATTCATACATATTTTAGTAAATGTACTAAAATCTAAAATATCATTTTAATTCCTGAAGCCCATTTTCGGGGCAAACAAAAAACATATCCTGGCAGAGGGGTTAACCCCGCATTACAAGGGTTAAGTTCTTGTTTTGTCTTGTGGACATTATGAAAGTTGCTTTACTTACCAGATTCCCACTCCTGCCATCGCCAACAAGGCTGTTTGACCGGTCCACACAGCCTCTTCCACAATTCACTTTGGCAGTCTAATGACCTCTGACATAATCAAGTCTTATGCAAGTCCATTGACCTGCATTAGACGTGATGACACCAAGGAACATTCCAACATGCAGAGCACAGGGGTAGAAAGAGTGAGCACTGACAGCCCTGGGAAAATCAGTCAAGTTTTGAGTCCTCTAGACAAAATGAGCACTTAACACCTGCAGTGTGGGTATAGCCCCGCTGCAAAGCTACGTTTTTTCTGTGCCTAGAGATGGATATTTTTTTTATTAATCAGATTGCTAACAAAACTAACTGTCTATCTATAGGGTAAATTATGTAAATGTGAAAAGTCCCTATAAATTGATCTTTGAAATTCTAATTTCTTCCATGTTTGGAAAGAAAGTAAAATTATATGTAAAATGAAGGGCATATAATGAGTATATTCTACTGCAATATTTACTAAATAGGCACACATGAATGTAAAGATACTAGTACATTTTTTGCAGGGGAAGGCTAGGAACCTTTGCCTAGGGAACAAACACAACCTACTGGCCATTTCATAGTAGGGATAGATTTTTGTGGGCTAAAGAATGCATGCAATGATTCTGGATTGATTGCTGGGAATAGTAAAATGTGGATGTTCCTAAAGGACATTTTTTTTTTACAACACCTTTTCACATCTTTCAGCATCAGCTTAATTTGCTTCTTTTGGCTTTCAGTCACATGACATCTCAGAGTAAAGTTAGTGCTCGAAAAACTTTTTAATGCCAGACACTGATCCCAGGTCTGAATGAGAAGCAGAAGGCATTCCCTCTGCCAGATCCGGTGATTGGAGTTTTGAACGAGGATTTGGCAACTATATAATTTCCAGCATGTGTAACCGACTGCAGATCTGACTTTGATCATGCAGTTAGTGTCTCCACCCAGAGCTACCAGCCCAACATATCTCATTAATAATAACCCAGGGAGCAAAGACCCCTCTGCCTCCCAGCCCAGCTCTGTCCTTCTCTGAATCTGTATATCATTATCAGTGCCTGTAATTTTATTTGATTCAAATGATTGATATAAGAATGCACTGCAAGCAAGGTTACATTTACAATATAGTTAAAGGAGAACTATGAGGTGAATGAAAATCACTCAGCCTCATAGTTCGAGCTGATGTGGGACAATGAAACTGTCAGTCATGGCTGCCAGTCATGGCTGCCCGCAGGGATTCCCCCCCTCCCCGCTCTGATCCTCCAGTGCTGTCTGGCAGAACGGATGGGGAGGGGGCGGGTACAGCTGGCTCTGCCTCTAGATAGGCAGAGCCAGCTGTCACTTACGCAGCTGGGTCGATCTTGACAGTAATGTCGGGATCTGGCCCGGCTACGGCAGTCTCCGTATACCACGAGCTATAGCTTGCGATATACTGAGCTTTGGGTCACGGGAGGATGCTAGTTTGTGTCTTCACATGACCCTTAAGAGAACTGTGGGGAAAAACACTTAACCCATAGTTCTCTTTTAAAGGTAAACTATCCCAATCCCGTCTGCTTGAAACTGAGGACAAAGAGACCTATGTTATAGCATGTTCTATACAATATATCTTCTCTGTTCACTGGAGGGTTCCATACTGCATACATACCAACACACACACAAACAAACACACTCGCACGCAAACATACTTTATGTTTTCAATCATTTCTATCAAAGGCTTATCACAAAAGGCTTAACAAATAGCAAGTTTATCTTCACAACTGCTGCAAACAAAACTCTGTATTTTGTCATTTTTAAAACTGTTGTTTATGTTATTTATTATTTTTTCTGTAGTCATGTGCTATTAATAAACACATTTTACCTATTTTTATGCAAGTACAAAATGAAGTTTCATTTTTGAGTGTGTCACACCCTTGGTATCTCTTCCATAGTTTAAGGCACATGGAAATAAAAATTTTCATGAGGTCAAAGAATTAGGTCTTGTTATCTGTCTGCAGAAATGAAACCCCTACGCATACAGTGTGTCAGCCAAAAGTGAGAGGGAATCACTATGTAATGATATATAAAGTTAAATAGAAAGTTAGACATTATCTGCCATAGCAGCTTGTTTTAAATGCATCATTCACAGTGTTTCATTTCTTTTTAGATAATGGTCGGTGAAGGTGTCCTATACTGCTGTCTGTCCAAAAGAAAAAATGGGATGGGAGCAGAAGCAAATATCAATGCTGGAGGATGCAACTTCAACTCCTTTCTAAGAAGAGCTGTCAGGTTTATAGGTGTGACTGTCATTTTATGTAACATAATTATTTATTTAGATATGAAAAATTGGTGTACACATTGGTAGGGCTAGACCTGTAGACATATTTGTGAAAAGTATAGATGACAAGAATACATTCCTGTTGAACAACCAATATAATAAAAAGAAGGAATCCAAACACTACCCTTGTTTTTTCCTGTTATTAAAGAGGATCAAAACTTTAAAGTTAGCTCAGCGTTAAATAATTAGCTTGCATTAGGGAGGAAAAGCAGCAGAAACAAATACAGCATAACATACCTATCAACTGTAAAAACAAGATCCAGCTCTGGTCCTTGGTTACATGTCACCAAGCCAGGATGTTAAGTCACATCACCTAGAGAAGCTATGCATTGTGGGCACCAATGTCATCATAGACTTTGGCTGCAAACTTTGCTGGTGACAACTCAGTGGACTGTCAATATGGCTTCAAGTAAACCTTTCATAAGAGAAATATATGAGCTGCCATTGCTAACTTTCTACAGTCCGGCCAATAAAAGTTCACATTAGGAACCCCCTTCTCATCAGAGTTCTATCTTATAATCTTCACCACAGTGCGGCTGCATCAGCATGGCCAAGGGCAGAAGGTGGAGCAGGTCTGGATGGAGGCAGACCTCTGTAATCTACTGAATGCTGGGGGGGAACTGGGGATGCAGCCTACCCTGTATTAGCCTCATGCACTTTCATGGTACTGGTGTCTGGATTGCCTGCACCATGAAAATGCATGGCACGATGCAAACATTTGAAGACACCCCTGAAAAAGGTAAATTTGTCTTTAAAGGACACTAGAGTTTGTAAGCCATGTCCACATAAGCAACAAGTATAATCAAGGCTTTATTTCACCAATTGTACAACTGCATACATTCTTTTACATTTAGACATTTTTTAGGTTTGTATACAGTTTCTATCATTCAAGTGTATTCTTTAAAGACTGTTTGTACAGGTTGTGCTTGGATGATCCATGGTAGGAACTGCATAAAGTAAAAGGATGCAGACCAGACCCATGACTGGCTCTGAAAGATCATATTAAGATTATTGTCATATTGTTCATGCCACAGTACTACATATATAATGGAACAGATGACATTACTTATGAAGCGTATGTCAAGGTAACTATACATTATGTTTAAGCTTTTAAACAGCCTCAAGTATTGAATGCAATTTCTTTTTGTATTTTATATGACAGCTCCACTTTAGGATGAGTAAACTGCTTGCCATTGCAGATGAGGGACTTGACATAAATCAAAGGTGGGGCAGTTGTAAAGGCAGAGTAGACTTAAAGTGACACTTAACTCAGTATCTAAATCTTAACTTGTTATGGACTACAATTTCACATTTGTTAGCTAATTTGTACTGATTGTAGTGCATCACAGGAGTGAGCTTGGAGCTGTTGCTACTCTACAACACACAAAGGGACCATGAAGAACAAAAGTAGCCACCCTCCAGAAGGAAGGACAGTGTCAGCACCAATTCAGAGATGATTTGAGGATCTACAGCCGAGTGATACACAAATAAGATACATTTTTGTTAATAGTTAAGGTACTTTAATGCTTTTTTAAGATTTAACTTCTGAGTTTAGTGTCACTTTAAAGCTAAACTCCAGGCAGATAAAAAAAGACACAGATTAACGCTGCTCTGTATACTTTAACCAATCATTAAACTGTTGTAAGTACCTATGTTTCAAATAACATCAGCCCTATGCATTCTCATGTACAGCAGCACTCAAATTTCAAAAGAAAGGCTGGGAAACAATCAGGTATGTAAATAGTGATCGAAGGAGAGAGCAGAATGAGCAGAGAGACCTCATCTGTCTTCTGCTGCTCCTTCACTGTTCTATCAGCAGGATGGGTTTAGGAGTTAAAACCACTGTGTTCCTTAAATGTAACCAAGAAATTGGTGCCATCCTCCTCACTGTGATAGGGCTGTACAAATCTCAAGAGTGGATAGTAATTCAGTCCTTTTTCAGGTAACACATTGGAGGAATTTACTAAAACTGGAGCAGATAGAATCTAGAGCAGCTGTGCATAGTACCCACTCAACCTCTATCTTCAGCTTGTTCAGTTAAGCTTTGAAAATGAAAGCTAGAATCTGATTGGTTGTCATGCACAGCTGCTCCAGAGTTGTCTGCTCCAGTCTTAAGAAATTCCCCTATTGGATTTTATCTGTGTTTTTAAATGTTTTCCTGGGGTTCAGCTTTAAAAGGGAATCTGGCTTATGTCATGTGGTTTTCAAACAGTAACAGTGTATGTTGCTAACTAAATGAAGCTATATTATGAAATGAAGTTAATCAAGTAGCAGTGATTTATTTTTTTCTAAGGATATAGTCTTGATAAAATGTGCAAATGGTCAGATCGTGGTATTATTTTTCAAACCACTCACATGAGATATCCTCATTCTGGCACCATGAGATGGTCTGAAGCCATAGTCATGTCCAGCACATTAATCAATTTTTGCTCTGTAAGAGATCAAAGCTGCATGATCAGTGCACTGTCATGGCCCTTTAGCACCTGTTAAGCTGTCAGAAACCAGCTCCAGAGTGAATTATTCAGCGCTGTTATTGCCTGGCTCAAGCTTCCCTCACATTAGCACACAGGAAAATAAATACAATGTGTGGAACAGGCAGTAGCATGAAAACCAAAATTCCAGAGGAATTTACTCATTTACGTATTAAGCATCAAGGAATTGAAAGGGATACTGAACAAAATCTATGAATAATGTAGAAGAAAAATCCTTATACTGGAAGGTTTACGTGCCCTGTCCTCGTAGGATAAGGATAGTTAGTGTTTTGTATTAGATTTTAGTGATTGGGTGATATACATGCTTTTCTATTGTCCCAATGAGTTGATAATCTATTTCTGAACTCCCAAGATTCTGAATCTTCTGAAATTTATAAATAGCATCATAGACACTCTTTAAAATTATTTTGTGCCTCTATACCACAAATGTCAGTGCCTGCAAAAGATTTATGTACCTGCCAGAAACAGTTACATGACTTTGTTGCATGGAGGCATGGTGGGGGTAGCAGTGAGGATGGAGTGTTAATACTGCAGTGTTCATACCTCAATCTATGTTCAGCCCCTGGGGCTGCACAGTGTCCCTGGTTTCTACTGCCAGAAACGTGTTGCAAATGCTTTATTGAATTGCCTTCAATGCTTTTATCAGGTTCAAGGGCTGACAAAATGTCAAATGTTCAATGCATTACAAGTGAACATTTTTCCCATGCAATCTGACTTTTTTTTTGAAAATAATTGAGGTTTGTTTTAGGAAAATAAGTTGTTTCAGTTCTACTCAACTTAACACCACTTGTACCATAAGGATACAATAACTGGTAATGATTGCTTGATATAAAATGTAAGCTGAACTCCAGGAAAAGAAATAAACACACAATTGAAATACAAATACATGAGCTTTTTAACCTGGCAAAGTATCTTCTTTTATATTCAGCATCTTCGGCCTATAGATTGGCCAGGCCAAGATGATGTAACTTCCATCACGCACAGGAGTTACTTAATTTTGGCACAGGACCTTGCCAAGCCTGCGCACTATGCTGAACATTTTTTTGTAGAAGAGACTTATTTACACACAGTCTCTTCTGCCATAAAAAAAGATGTCTGTTGGCTTTTTAAAAAAAACAAAACTTCACTTCCACTTACTACTATCATGTAATCTCTGTTGTCTGGACAGTGGAAGAGTAGCAACAGACTGGTGAGTTCACCCCTCTGCTCACTCCTATCCTTTCAGCTTGTTCCTAATCCTATCAGCTTAACCTATCAGCTTGTTCCTTGTCCAGACATGAAGCACACGTGATTGGTTCCTAGTCCTTCCTCCACTCTCTGAGTCTAAGTGCTGGTGTATAGTTAACTGAAAGAGGCTGATACCAAGTTAAATTCAAGGCACATACACTAGATGCTTTAAGAAAACAACTTTGAATCATTAATGAATACAGAACTGCATTCATTTGTGTCTGCTATATCTGCCTGGAGTTCAGCTTTATGTCATGCTATGATAAAGTGCATTGCTGGGTACAAAAACTGGCATTTTATTTCCACCTTCAGACTGATAAAACTGCTCACTAGTATAAACCGTCCCTATCTATTATACTAACTGATGAAGATTACAGCTTAGGCATAGCACCATTACTAGGAAACTATATATATGTACTATCCTGCCTTTTCAAATCAACGTGCTGTAGAAGAATGAACATGTTAAACATAACATGTTCAGTGCAGTACATTTTCCTAGAGGCATAAATAGACTAGAAGCTAGAATAAAATTTAAATTCATTAACAGTCTTCAGAGAAAAACAAGCAAAACAAATGCTAAAGCTATAAACTGTGCTATCCAGTTGGTAACACAATATTGTTTTATTGGAAATGCTGCATCATTAGTGTAGAATCATGAGGATACTACAGGGACAGACCTGCCTCCTACGTCATCTACATACCAAAATAACGGAAAGATTGTCCCTTTTACTTAGATGCAGTTAACATGATTAGCATACAAGGCAATGGGTTTTGACTAGCTATACCTTAAACAATGACTCTTAAAAAATTATTTACTATGCAATCTTTTTCTTTCACAAAGCATACGGTAAAGCCAACATAGTAATATTATTTCAAATGTATTCACATCATTTGGCTTCATTAAAATTTGGAAATATAAACAGAGCATACAGAGATATGGAACTAGAGAATGGCTGTAAATCATCCTAAGTGTGATGGATGGCAAAGAAGCCAAGGATTGCTTAAGGGATGTAATATGAATATTGGCTGTGCCCCTAACATGGTAGGCTGTGAAAATGTTTTAAGGAAAAGAGTATGTTAACTGAAGAAGGTGTTAATCAGGAACTTTGGATATGGAATCAAAGAGAAGATAGAAAAGTGTAGAGTAGGACGTGAAAGTAGAGAAAGATGTAGGATAGAAAAGTGGACAAGATCAAGAAAGGCTAAAGAATGAAAAAGTGGGAGCAAGTAGGGTGGGAGT